CACTTGTAAATGAGTCTTCTAGGCTCAATGTGACTTATCTGTCTAAATAAAGGTTGAACAAATGAATATAAGTACAGTCCATTTACCATTCCATTTTACTATAATTCATGTTTAAATGCAACTCATCTTGCCATACAGTGCAGTGTCTTCAGACTTTGCCAGCAAATTAAAACTTGACGCTAAATCATTAAACTATCTTTGTGTTAGATTTATTTATAAATCACATTTAAACACTGCTCGTACCAATTAAATTGAAATAAAAAGTAACACACACACAATACTTAATTACACACATTTGAGTAGATGTAATAAATTACTTTAATTACTGTTTAAATGCAATTCATCCTGCCATGATGCAGTGTCTTCAGACTTTGACAGCAAATTAAAACGTTGGTTACGTACTGTAACCCCAGATTCTATGAGTATAGGCGTAGCCCTTTAAGAGCTGTCGCTTTTGGGTTTATCCCGTCATGCAAAGCATCGCACTGAAAAAATTTAGTCCACGCCCACCTGTTGTGTGGTCCCCACCCGGTCCGTATAAATTACGTTAAGAACGGGTAATCGGCTCCCAAATAGCTTTTTCTTCAGCCATTTAGGAGCCAGTGAGGCCCGACGCTTTGTCGACAGCTCTTAAAGGGCTACGCCAATACTCATAGAATCTGGGGGATACAGTACGTAACCAACGTTCTATTTCGTATAGGCTTCGCCCTTTAAGAGCTGTCTCTGGTGGGTTAAAGGCGAAGTAAGATGTGGTCTCCGCCTCACTGGGTCCATTCGAACACCATATGAAGCGCCCACTTGCCCAAAAAACATCTCGTCACTCAGCTCTCCATGTGCGAAAATACGCGTTGCGTAATTATGGGCACCATGCACAGATGTGCGCTGCGTAGTTTACGCGTTCCAAATGCATGAACGCCCGGAAAGGTTTCAACGGGAAAGAGGAGTCTGAAAAGGCTGTGAACAGAGCAGATCCACGGCTCTTCAACATGAACAGATTAATAATAAGTGAACTGATTATTAATCAAATGAACTGATTGATGACAGAAGTCATCAACTGATTAGTGACCCTAGAACAAGAACAACAGTCATAATATGTGACTGATAACAACATCTCACACTGTAATGCATGCAGTCAGATGTGAGTTTAAACGAGATTCCATGAAACAACAATATTCATTCTGTTAAAACACCAAGGACAGAATGTGTCATGGAACAAGCCAACACATCACGTAAATAAAAGCGAATAAATGAACAGGGTGTTGATCATGCGGCCGCAGTACAAATTTCCTGCATCGTCATACCATTATGCAAAGCAGTCGAAGATGCGATACCTCTGGTCAAGTGTGCCCTGAGGTTGTCAGGAGGCTCTAAATCTGATGCTCTGTAGGCTTCAGAAATGGCCTCACACAGCCAATGTGACAAGCGCTGGGTGGATAACGGGCGACCTGCAGATGTGTCTCTATAGTGTACAAACAAATGTGGAGTCTGACACAGTGCCGCCGTGCGTGCTACGCAACACGTCAACGCATGCACAGGGCAGAGAAGATTGGAAGATGCTTCATCTTCTGATTTGTGGGGAGGAGGGAAAAAAACTCCCAACGATATCTCTCTTGAATGAGCTTGAGATGTTTTTAGGCATAAACGCTGGGTTAAGCCTGAGATCAGCTGAGCTGTCATCAGCCTGTAATCTGAGACATGACGGAGCGACAGAGAGGGCAGATAAATCACTCACCCCCTTAACGGATGTTAAAGCCAACAGCAGGGCTGTTTTAAGAGACAAGAATTTAATCGGAACCTGATCAAGTGGCTCGAATGGAGCTTTGATCAGGGCTCGCAGAACCAGCGTTAAATCCCACTGTGGAGAAAGTGGGCGTGAAACAGGCCTGTGTCTCTGTACACCTTTTAAAAAAACGCTTCATCAGAGGATGATTAAAAGCTGTTCTGTCCCTGAAACCTTGGTGACAAGAAGAGATGGCTGCAGCGTACGTTTTAATTGTGCTGAACGCCAGATTCCTGTCCATCAGCTGCTGCAGAAAAGACAGCACGCCACCTAGTGGACATGAGGTGGCCTTTACACCTTTCTCCGTACACCAGCGCTGAAAAGCTGTCCACTTTGATGTGTACAGCGCTGTGGCGGAGGCAGCACGTGAATCCTGAATCGTGCGCACTACCTCTCGAGACAGGCCCATCTTCTCTAAACTGATCCGCTCAGCAGCCAGACCCAAAGGTGCTGGCCTATTTCTGGGTAACTTCTGATCGCTCCTCCCTCCTGGAGGAGAGCGACCTCCCTCCACGGCAGTTTCCACGGGCGACCCGATAACAGGCCTCGTGGAATTGGGAACCACGGGGCGTTCACGCGCTTGGGAACCACCAGGAGGACTGTCAGTCCCTCCTCCCAAACTCTGTTCAGAAACCGTGATATAAGAGGGAGTGGGGGAAATGCGTAAAAAAGCATTTTGGGCCACAGGCTGTGAGCAAGCGCGTCCACCCCTAGCGGTGGTTCATCCCGTGGGCTCAGTGAGAACCATAGTTGACACAGAGCGTTCTCTGGTGTGGCAAACAGGTCCAAGGCCGCTCTGCCAAATTTCTGCCATGTCTGAGCCATCAGCTCGGGATGGAGGCTCCAGTCCCCATGGCGCGGACCGCCCCTGCAGCCTCGTTCTAGTAGGACGTCACTACTGGAAAACGAGGCCAGATGGGATCAGGACGGCGAGCCAGGGTGGAGCCAAAACTTCCCGCTAGATCATCCGATCTGGGCGGGGGGAGGAGAGGGACGGAAAGTCCCTTCGTGTCAGCCGCCTCCTGGATTATGCCGGACAGCTCCGAGAGGATGGCACCGACGGCTGGGAGCGATGTGGTCACTGATGCGGAAAGGCCCCGGGGGGTGAGCATCCGCTCGGCCCCCCTCGTTCCGACACTACGCTCTCCAGGAGGGAGTGAGCAGCGGGGGCTGCTGCTGACGCCGCCTGTCCCAGAGGAACCATCCGATTCACTCTGAGAGTCGGCGTTAAAAAAAAAGGTTGATGGCATTGACCCGCCACGGAAAGTACTCCTCAGCGCTTACCTTGAAACAAGGCTGCTCGTCTGCTTCTCCTCGGGGAGGAAGAACTCACTGGGACGGCAGGAGGTTGGCGTGGCGGAGACCAAGGCAGCCTTAGCAAAGGTTGTGCCAGTCAAGCTGGACAACTTTCCTTCTTCGTTCTTCTGACAGTGCTATTAGCTTGCTGAAGAAAAATGGGAGCCAATTACCCGCTCTTAACGTAATTTATACGGACCGGGTGGGGCCCACACAACAGGTGGGCGTGGACTAAATTTTTTCAGTGCAATGCTTTGCATGACGGGATGAACCCACCAGCGACAGCTCTTAAAGGGCAAAGCCTATACGAAATAGAACTTGAAGCTAAATCATTAAACCATCTTTGTGTTCGATTTATTAATAAATCAAATTTAAACACTGCTTGTACCAATTAAATTGAAATAAAAAGTAACACACATTGTCTATCACTGTCATTAATCAGCTAACAAACAAGCAGCAGCATCAGCTCCCAGAGAGACTAACGCTACATTTTTTCACTTGGAAAAAGAACAATTGTAGGATATTTTAGAGACTTACTGCTGCTGAGCTCCTTCATCCAAACAGCGGTGAAGTTAGTTTACGACACCGACATGTATACGTTTCATCACCTTGGTTTCCCCATGTCATGTCGTCACTTTTGCAAAGCTGCATGTTGTGCAGTTTTTAACTTTGTGAAGCGTCAAGTGCTCCCACACTTTGGAGGACTTGGGTCGAATTGTTTTCTCGGCGTCTGTCATTTATAAAATGTCCTTAATTTCTAAAAAAGTTAAATCTGGTCCTCTGGACATTCAAAAAAAACAAAACAAAGCAAATCAACAAAAAAAATGTAGAAACGTTTCGTCTCTCATCCGAGAGACTTCCTCAGTCTGAGGAGCTGTATTCAGCTCAGTCTCTTAAATAGCACCGTCTCAGAGTCCTTAATTTCCTTTGAAAACAGCCTCTGCTCGGCTTCTCTCTCGCTCTGATCAACTCACTCTGCAGTTTTTTGTTTTTTTTTACTTTATTCAGTCAGCCAGCATTGACAACACTCTGCAGGTGAACAAAACGGCTCCACAACTCCGTGAGACTCATAATCGTGCGACACAACGAATCGATAATTAAATTTGTCTAAAACACTTTTAATAATCAATTTTTATCTATTTTATTGATTCGTTGTTGCAGCCCTAGTCGGCACTACAAATCTTTTAGACCACTTAAAACAATGCTATGTTATAAGCTGCAGCTCTGAGTGTGTTTTCAGCCTCCTTCACTGAAACAAACCACGGTATAAAACTCATTTAGCCGTGCTATGCCTTATGAGAGGAACAATGAGAACGCAACATTAATAAATTAGCAGCTTATCATATCACTAAAGACACGGCTCTAGTCTCAACTGTGGAACAAGAAGACGGCTAAAGCATTAGCCGTCTCATTAGCTGCTAAGGTAAGAACCGTGTCTTTAGCGATAAAAATAAGCTGCTGATTTATTAATATTGCGACACCTCCTCTCTCACCTTTCCCCTCATAAGGCACAGCATGGCTAAATGAGTTTCATACCGTGGTTTGTTTCAGGGAAGGAGGCTGAAGTCTGTCGGAGCTGCAGCTGCAGTTCACACATGCTTACCAACGTCATGAAGGCAGCGAAGCTGAATAAGATTATTATTTAATATATGTAAATAAAGGTATAAAAAATAAACTAATATATGTAAATAGTTTATTTTTTAGACATTTACTTTGTACAGTTATAGTTGTTTACAATATGTGCCTGTGTGACAACTGGGACAAAGCTTTGACTCAGAAATATATTTTTGTTATTAGTTTATATATCGTATATTGTCATTCATCTTAAATATTTTGAGATATTAATTTTGGTCCATATTGCCCTGCCCTACAAACCAACCATCCAACAGTTGACCAGTTTACAATGCTTAGGTGAACTGCTCACTTGTGTCTGCCTGGCTGCCAACACTGATATATCTGTCGCTTGCCACCTGGGATGTCTGGTAGTATGTAGTCTCTTCTTGCTGAGGAACTTTGGCATTTTTCTCTGTCAGAAAGGCAACAGCATCAGCCAGGTCTCCATTGCTCACCTGAAGCAACAAGAGAAAAAAGAAAGATCAACAAAATGCTGGTGAAGATTCTCAGTCATCCAGGACATGATGAATTCAAAAAACGTTCAATACAAAGACAACTGGACTTTATTTGTAACAGAAGACGTTTCGCTCCTCATCCGAGGAGCTTTCTCAATTCAAAGAGCAGTGAAGTGAGGGATTCAGGTTAAAAAGCTGACTAAGATAAGAAACACACACATATGTAGATCAGCAATTCACACTTAAACACCTTAACAGTAAGAGTCTTTTGTTACTCTAATTCACAGGCGAGGCCCCTCTGTTCCCATCAGGTGTGAAAACTGGCTGGGAATCTGTCTTAAAGTTGCATTATAGGTTTTAGAAAGTGGAAATCTGAGGCCTCCTCCTCTGTTAAGAGACGACTTTTCTCTTTTTACATAAATTGCCTCCTTCACCCCCCTCTCAAACCATCTGTGTTCTCGGTCAAAAATGTGCACATTTTGGTCCTCAAAAGAGTGTCCCTTCTCTGTGAGGTGGAGGTGAACAGCTGAATCTTGTCATGAGGAAGTAGCTCTCCTGTGTTGAGCCATGCGTCTGTGAAGAGGCTGTTTAGTTTCTCCAATGTAGAGGTCTGGACAGTCCTCGCTGCACTGGACCGCATACACTACACCACTCTGTCTGTGTATGGGTGTTTTGTCTTTAGGGTGGACCAGTCTCTGTCTGAGGGTCCTGCTGGGTTTGAAATGTACTGGGATGTTGTCTTTGTTGAAAATCCTTCTGAATTGCTCTGATACTCCAGCAACATAAGGGATGACAATGTTTTTACGTCTGCTGTTTTCCTTTTTCTGTTTATTGGTGTGTTTTGTAGATTTCCTTGCTGACTTGACAAAAGCCCAGTTTGGATATCCACGTTTGGAGAGCTTCTTGGATGTGTTTCTGTTCCTTTTCCTTACCTTTTGTCTTTGTGGGGACGCGTTCGGCCCGATGTTGTAAAGTTCTGATGACAGAGAGTTTGTGTTCCAGTGGATGGTGGGAGTCATCTTATAGGTGCTGGTTGGGTCCCTATTCAGGATCTCCTAGGTGTTACTGTCGCTCAGTAGTGTAGTTATTTTTTCCCGGTAATCAGAAGTGTTGAGGACTACTGTGCATCTTCCTTTATCAGCTGGTAAAATGGTGATGTTTTGGTCCTGGCTGAGTGATGTTACAGCTTTCCTTTCATGTGGTGTGAGGTTTGAAGGAGGCGGTTTGGCACTGGAGAGGGTTGCTGATATTTTCATTCTGAGCTGTTCTGCCTCTCCTTCCGTCAAGTTGTTGTTCCTAATCGCGGATTCAGTGGCCGTGATTAGTTCCACAACAGGTATTTCTTGAGGGGAGATGGCAAAGTTTAGTCCTTTCGCCAGCACATCTTTCTCAGGTTGTGTCAATGTCCTGTTAGATAAATTTCTAACCCACTGGTCATGAAAATTAGTGTTGGAGACAATCTCCTGATCTTGACTGATGGTTTGTGATGAGAAAACAGCTCTCTGTTGTAATTTTAGAAACTTACTTTTTTGACGTTCCTTGCTCTTTTGATGCTGTGAAAGCTGGGCCTTTTCAATAAAAAGAAAGTCACAGATTACTTGCAAAAACTTGAAAAGGAGAAAACAACCAATCGATTGTTGTATTATAGATTGTACCCAGGGGAAGCCACTCCCCGTCTTTATGGACTTCCAAAAATACATAAAGAAGGAACACCACTCAGACCCATCATCAGCAGCATGAACTCAGTGACATACAATATTGCTAAACATCTGGCTGGTATTTTAGCTCCTCTTGTTGGAAACACACCTCATCACATAAAGAACTCCATTGATTTTGCTAACAAAGATCAACACTTGAAACTAACCCCAGGAGAAACCCTTGTATCGTATGATGTGACTTCTCTTTTCACATGCATACCCATCTCTGAAGCAGTAGAAACCGTCAGAAAACAACTTCTACAAGACAAGGACTTAATCAAAAGGACCAACTTCACCCCAGACCAGATCTGCACCCTGTTGGATCTCTGCCTCTGCACCACTTATTTCAAGTTCAATGACAGTTTTTACAGACAGAAGCACGGCTGTGCCATGGGATCTCCAGTGTCACCCATTGTTGCCAATCTCTACATGGAGGAAGTGGAACAGAGAGCCCTAAACTCCATTGAGGGAACAACGCCAAGCCATTGGTTCCGTTATGTGGATGACACCTGGGTCAAAATCCAAGCCAAGGAAATAGAAGCGTTCACCAGACACATTAACTCGGTCGATAACAACATCAAGTTCACCAGAGAGGATGCAAACGACAACAAGCTGCCTTTTTTGGACTGTTTGGTTCAGATGGAAAGAGAGGACAGCCTCAACATTGAAGTTTACAAAAAACCAACCCACACAGACCAGTATCTTCTGTTTGACTCCCACCATCCACTGGAACACAAACTCTCTGTCATCAGAACTTTACAACATCGGGCCTAACGCGTCCTCATGAAGACAAAAGGTAAGGAAAAGGAACAGAAACACATCCAAGAAGCTCTCCAAACGTGTGGATATCCAAACTGGGCTTTTGTCAAGTCAGCAAGGAAATCTACAAAACACACTAGGGCTGCAACAACGAATCGATAAAATCGATAAAATCGATAAAAATCAATAAAAATCGTGATTAAAAGCGTTGGAAACAAATTTCATTATCGATTCGTTGTGTCGCGCGATTATGCGTCTTTCACGGCGCTGCGGAGTCGTTTCGTTTTGTTTACGGGCAGTTCATTGTCAATGCTGACTGACTGCATAAAGTTTGAAAAAAAAAAACCAAACCCTGCAGCGCGAGTTGAACAGAGCGAGGGGCGAGGCAGAGCAGAGGGGGTGTTTTCAAAGGAAAATAAGTAAATTTTGCAAATGACCGATGCAGAGAAAACTGTTCCACCCAAGTCCTCCGAAGTGTGGGAGAACTTCACAAAGATAAAAACTGAGAAACATGCAGCTTTGAAAATCGCCGACACGACACGAGAGAACCACGGAGATCAACGTAAACATGTGGGAGTCACGAGGAGGAGGAAGGAGCTGCTGCTGACACAACTCGTTTCACTCCCAACTCGTGTTGCAGGTGAGTCTCTACAATTTAACACTTTGTTCTGTTTCAAGAGAGAAAACGTAACGTCAGTCTGTCTGGTAGATGAAGCTGTTTGTTTGTTTGTTTATCTGATTAATGACGGTGATAGAGAACATGTGTTACTTTTTATTTAATTTAATTGGTACAATCAGTGTTTAAATGTGATTTATAAATAAATCTAACACAAAGATAATAATTTAATGATTAAGCTTCAACTTTTAATTTGCTGGCAAAGTCTGAAGATACTGCAGGTATGGCAGGATGAATTGCATTTAAACAGGAATTAAAGTAATTTATTACATCTACTCAAATGTGTGTAATTAAGTATTTTATATATATGCGTGTGTGTGTGTCTGTGTTTAATTGCTCTTTTAGCTACTTTTGCCTGAACCTAACACTGTAAGTGAAACAAGGCATTTCTTGAGTTGCTGTAAATTATGATATAAAACATATTTACTGTCTCATTCCAGAAAACAACAACAACAAACAACAACATCCTTCATGATGGACAGACATCATGGACACCACAGCAGCAGCTGTCTTCACTGAAACATCCTGAACATGATCGTCACTGACATGAGGCCTCTGTCCATGGTTGAAGACGAAGGCTTCACTACAATAATCCACACTTTTCATCCAGGTTACAATAATCCACACTTTTAATCCAGGTTACAATGATCCACACTTTTAATCCAGGTTAAAATGATCCACACTTTTAATCCAGGTTAAAATGATCCACACTTTTAATCCAGGTTACAATGATCCACACTTTTAATCCAGGTTACAATGATCCACACTTTTAATCCAGGTTACAATGATCCACACTTTTAATCCAGGTTACAATAATCCACACTTTTAATCCAGGTTACAATAATCCACACTTTTAATCCAGGTTACAATGATCCACACTTTTAATCCAGGTTACAATAATCCACACTTTAATCCAGGTTACAATAATCCACACTTTTAATCCAGGTTACACTCTTCCCTCAAGGACACATTTTACAAAGTAGCTACATATTGTGCAGGTATAAAGACACATTTGTATATATTTTTGTGTACATTTGTTTTTTTAAACTATTTGACTAACTTTTATTTTTTTGTATTCAATATTTTACTAACAGAATAGTCAAATAGCAACCTGTTTTTGTGTGAATTGCTGTCAGTCAATTGTTCAATTGTGGAATACAGGGGTGGAAATTAAAACGTTGTGGGGGGGTTTCCGATTAATCGATTAATCGAAAAAAATAATCGGCCGATGAATCGATTATTGAAATAATTGTTAGTTGCAGCCCTAAAACACACTAATAAACAGAAAAAGAAGAACAGACGTAAAAACATTGCCATCCCTTATGTTGCTGGAGTATCAGAGAAATTCAGAAGTTTCTTCAACAAACACAAGATCCCAGTACATTTCAAACCCAGCAGGACTCTCAGACAGAGGCTGGTCCACCCTAAAGACAAAACACCCATACACAAACAGAGTGGTGTAGTGTATGCGGTCCAGTGCAGCGAGGACTGTCCAGACCTCTACACTGGAGAAACTAAACAGCCTCTTCACAGACGCATGGCTCAACACAGGAGAGCCACCTCCTCTGGACAAGATTCTGCTGATCATCTCCACCTCACAGAGAAGGGACACTCTTTTGAGGACCAAAATGTGCACATTTTGGACCGAGAACACAGATGGTTTGAGAGGGGGGTGAAGGAAGCAATTTATGTAAAAAGAGAAAAGCCGTCTCTTAACAGAGGAGGAGGCCTCAGATTTCCACTTTCAAAAACATATAATGCAACTTTAAGACAGAATCCCAGGCGGTTTTCACACCTGATGGGAACAGAGGGGCCTTGTCTGTGAATTAGAGGAACAAAAGACTCTTACTGTTAATGTTTGTTTAGGTGTGAACTGCCAATCTACATGTGTGTGTGTGTCTTATCTCACTCAGCCTTATAACCTGAATCTCTCACTCTCTGCTCTTTGAATTGAGGAAGCTCCTCGGATGAGGAGCGAAACGTCTTCTGTTACAAATAAAGTCCAGTTGTTTTTGTATTGAACGCTTTTTGAAAGATCAACAAAGTAAACACAAAACAGGAATATTTGAAACTTTTGTTTAATAAGATAGAATACCACCAAAGTGTGAAAAAGTTTTGAGGTTGTGTAAAATGTGAATAAAAGCAGAATACAACTGGCAAATTATATAAACCTATGTTTTATTTACAGTGGAACAAAGTAAATATATGTATGTATGTATGTTTTATTTATTCATTTCATTTCATCCAAACAACAAATATAATACAATTTAAAGAAAAGAAAAAAGATATACAATCACAGAAATAAAATGAAAGGCAGCAGAAGAAGAATGAATTCTTATAAAATCTGCCCCTTGTCCCCAAAATATATTCCAAACAAAATTACTATACAAAAGCAAGATGAATTAATAAAAAAAAAATAATAATAATAAAATAAAAACTTAGCTAAAATATAAGATCAACTGTAAACAATTTTTATGAACTCACATTATACTTAATTTTTTTTTAAAAAACAATTTTTTATCATCCTCTTGAATATGTACATAGTTTTGGCATTTTTAATATCATCCTCCAGATCATTCCACAATCTAATACCCTGAGATCTAGTGGATCACATCTTCAGACTGGTGCGACACCACGGCTTCACAAACATCTCCATCCCCTTAAGATAATAATTACTTTCTCTTTTAACAAATTTCCCTTGAATGTTAGTAGGTAGTATGTTTTTGTTGGCCCCATACATAAACAGTAAGATATTGTAATCAACCAAGTCATAAAATTTTAATATCTTTAGCTGATGAAACAATATATTTGACGGATGGTTATCATCTTTTCTGGTAATAATTCTAATGGCTCTTTTCTGTAAAATAAAAATTGGATTTGTAATTGTTTTACATGCTTTACCCCAGACTTCAATACAGTAAATTAAATGTGGAACAATAATGGCATTATACAATAGAAACATTGCTTTATCATTGAATAACTCTCTAACTTTGTACATTACTGCGATCGATTTAGCTATTTTAGTTCTTAAGGTTTTTACGTGAGATCTCCATGTTAGTTTTTCATCAATGATGACACCCAGAAATTTCACCTCATTGACTCTATTAATTTCAATTCCATCGACTCTAAATGGAGTATCAAGCACTTTCTTGTTATTACTAAAAATCATATAATTTGTTTTATCAACATTTAAAGATAATTTGTTTAGTTGAAACCAATTTTGTATTTTCACAAATTCTGTTTGTGCCATCTTCAGCATTTGCACAACATTTTCACCCACACAAATAAAAGTAGTATCATCTGCAAACAAAATACATTTAAAAATGTATATTGTATGTATATTGTATAAATGTATATAAATGTATATTAAAAATATATGAGAAGTTGAAACTAAAACAATTATAATTTTTTTAATTAGATGATTTTGAACTTGATGGTAGCAAAACATTTCTTTAAACTTGCTCTGAGACCATTTTCCCTCACTATGATGCATCCCGTCTTCATCCATCCATCCATTATCTTTACCCGCTTCTTCCATTTTGGGTCACGGGGGTCGCCAGTGCCCATGTCCAGCAATCACTGTGCGAGGGGCGGCGGACACCCTGGACGGGTCGCAAGTCCATCACAGGGCCACATGGAGACAAATGAGACAAACAATCATTCACTCTCTCACTCACCAATAGACAATTTAGAGTTACCAATCAGCCTAACATGCATGTTTTGGGTCTGTGGGAGGAAACTGGAGAAAACCCACGTATGCACGGAGAGAACATGCAAACTCCACCCAGAAAGACCCCTGGACTGGGATTTGAACCAGGGACCTGCTGGCTGAGAGGCAGCAGCTCTACCAGTTGTACCACCGTGCTGCCCGCATCCCGTCTTCATTAAACAAATTATAAACTGCATGATTTTTTATAGTTCGGGGCAGCATGATGGGTCAATGATTAGCACTGTTGTCTCACAGCAAGAAGGTCCTAGGTTCAATCCCCAGTTCGAACTGGGGTCTTTCTGTGTGGAGTTTGCACGCTCTTCTCGTGTTTGTGTGGGTTTTCTCCAGGTACTCCAGTTTCTTCCTACAGTATAAAAATTACCAGGCCTCCCTTGAAAAAGAGATCTGTGATCTCAGTGGGATTTGCCTGGTTAAATAAGGATTCCATCCATCCATCCATTATCTTCCGCTTGATCTGAAGTCGGGTCGGGCAGAAGTTTGAGCAGGGAGGCCCAGACATCTCTTTTCACAGCCACCTCTTTCAGCACTTCTGGGAGGATTCCAAGGTGTTCCAGGCCAATCGAGAGACATAGTCTCTTCAGCATGTCCTGGGTCTTCCCCAGGGTCTCCTCCCAGTCGGACATGATCGAAGCACCTCCCTAGGGAGGCGCCCCAGGAGCATCCTTACCAGATGCCCGAACCACCTCAAATAAATAAAGGTCAATAAATAAAAAATAAATAAAATCAATGTATAAAACTGAGGAGACCAGTTGCTGAAGATTTTGGGGGAAACATCCCATTCTTGTGTGATGGAGGATTGTAGCGGTTCATCCGTTCTGGCTCTTCTTTGCTGGATGGGAGAATGTGTTGTTCTAAAACCTGCATATACCTTTCTGCATTTAACGTGAATTTTTAGATGTGTGAGCTGCCCATGTTAGAAACACTAATGCATCCCCGTACCATCAGCAAAAAAGGCTTTTGAACAGTGTGCTCATAACAGTCTGGATGGTTCCTCTACTATTTAGTAGGGCTGCAACAATGAATCAATAAAATTGATAAAAATCGATTATTAAGTGTTGGCAATGAATTTCATTATTGATTCGTTGTGTCACACGATTAAGCGTCTCTCAGCATGTTGCAGAGCTGTTTTGTTCACCTGCAGAGCATTGTCAATGCTGGCTGACTAAATCAAGTTTGAAAAAAAAACAACAACCTGCAGCACGAGTTGAACAAAGTGAGGTGGGAGGCGGAAGCAGAGCAGAGGCTGTTTTCAAAGGAAATTAAGTACATTTTACAAACGATTCGACCCAAGTCCTCAAAAGTGTGGGAGAACTTCACGCTTCACGAACCTAAAAACTGCATAAGTTGCAGCTTTGAAAAGTGACAACATGACACGGGAGAACCACGGTGAAACGTAAAAATGTCTGAGTCGTTAACTTACTTCACCACGGTTTGGATAAAGGAGCTGAACAGCAGGTGAGTCTCTACAGTATTCTACATTTGTTCTGTTTCCAAGTGAGAAAACGTAACGTCAGTCTCTCTGGTAGCTGAAGCTGCTGTTGCTGTTTGTTAGCTGATTAATGACGGTGATAGAGAATGGGCGTGTTATTTTTAATTTAATTTAATTGGTACAAGCAGTGTTTAAATGTGATTTATAAATAAATCTAACACAAAGATAGTACTAATTTAAGATTAAGCTTCAAGTTTTAATTTTCCAGCAAAAGTCCTGAGTGAAGACACTGCATGTATGGCAGGATGAATTACATTTAAACAGGAATTAAAGTAATTTATTAGATCTACTCAAATGTGTAATTAAGTTTTTTTGTGGGTGTGTGTGTAATTGCTCTTTGAGCCACTTTTGCCTTAACCCAACACTGTAAGTGAAACAAGGCATTTCTTGAGTTGCTGGAAATTATGTTATAATACATATACTTTCTTTCTCATTCCAGAAAACAACAACAAACAAAGACAGCCTTCACTGACATGAGGCCTCTGTCGATGGCTGAAAACGAAGGCTTCACTACAATGATCCACACTTTTAATCCAGGTTACACTTTTCCCTCAAGGACACATTTTACAAAAAGTAGCTACATATTGTGCAGGTATAACATATAACTGTATATATTTTTTTGTACATTTATTTTTTATTGAAGCTATTTGACAAACTTTTTATTTTTTATTATTCAATATTTTACTAACAGAATAGTCAAGTAGCAACCTGTTTTTTGTGTGATTTGTTATGTCAGTCAAATTTTGAAATAAAGAGGTAGACATTAAAACATTTTTTGTATTTTTGGCCGATTCATCAATTAATAGGAAAAATAATCGCCCTATTAATCGATTATTGAAATAATCGTTAGTTGCAGCCCTACTCTTTAGTCTGAAGGACAAGGAGTTTGGGGTTTCCAAAACGTATATTCAAATTTCAATTTTTCTGACCACTTAATAGAGCTCCACATTGCCTCACCTCATTGTAAATAAGCTTTGGCCCATAGACAGAAGCATTTCTGAAAGGTTAAATGAAATCAAAAACCGAATGAAATTAAAGGTTAGGAAGTGATTTTAGACTTGAGAAGTATTGAAATAGTTGTACCTCGATGAGATAAGCAAATAATCAACTTTGATTAAATCCAAGACAACCCCGAGTATGAATATGCATTAAAGAATTAGTAAGACCTGCTGTTGAAGACGTACCTGCAGGGCCTGCTGAAGCAGCTGAATGTCCGTGGTGCCAGTAACCTCTCTCAACTGGTTTAGTAGTGTCTGCTGGTGCTAAAAGGGAAAGAAACAATAAAAATGCAGTTCAGCAAAAAGCTTGGTAGGATAGACAGACATCATTTTATTCAGTCTATTGTCTATTTTTTTTTATAAAAACTACCATCACAGACTAACACTCCTATACCATCAGCGAGGAAGGTTAAAACACAGGAGGGCTGAAATGATTCCTCGAATAATTCGAGTACCGTGATTACTAAAAATCCTCGAGGCAATTATTTTTTTTCCATTTACCCTTTATTTATACAGGTCGTCTTATTGAGTCACGAGAACTCATTTTCAAGAGAGACCTGTTTAGGGAGCAGATGGTAGGGGTTAAGGGCCTTGCTCAGAGGCCCAGAGTGGGGCCAATGAGAGTGGAAACAGGTGTGGGTGTTTCACCTTTTCAGAATCAGAATAAACTTTATTGGCCTTGCACCGAGATACAACGCGAATATGTACGTACAGTCGTCCGAAAGATGGGCGGACTGCACGAAGCTGCAACTATAGAAAGCGCTGCCTTCTTATCCTTATCAGATAATAATCTCAGATAGGAAAATGGGTAGAAACATGAGGGTGGATAGTGGTGTAGTGAACTAGACCTCCGACATCAATCTGTCTCTGAGGACCTTCAGGGGACAGGAACTGTTATTTCATTGATTTCAATCCAGAAATACAAATTATCTCATCAAGAGACTATTTAATTGTATCCTGAATTAATCAATTGAAAGAACACTCTTCTTTTTTATATTATTATTAACTATTTTACAATATCTTGATAATCAAAAGTGTGTTTAGTTCATACCATTTCTAAATGTTGAAGTAAACCACTCATTTAAATCAACTGTGAAACAGTATTAATGATTTTTAAACCTCATAAGACTTTGATCATACAGTTAAATGTCTATTTATGAAGTAAGTGTGCATTCACTCTTCTGTCTGTGTGAGGAGTGGACCTCATGTCGGTCGAAAGTCAGAGACAAGTTATGAGAACGAAGTGCCTTGTTTTAAAACTCTCAGACCGTAAATAAGAACTGGCTGGCACCTGCTGTCTCTCACTTCTTCAAAATATTTCTCTGTCTGTACTAACCATTCTTAAAACATTTCTGCTGTCTGTTGACTTCTAATAACCCTCTGACATCACTAAAACTACACCCCTGCTGGTTGTTTCAACCAATCAGGAAGTACCAAGTGACAGGAAGTGGATACTCTTTGAAAGGCAACACTTCTTGGAACTATTGAGTCTTTTCCAGTCTTTGAGTTTTTCCAGTCTTCTTAGAACTTTCAGCCTTACATGGAAGACTCAGTCTTACTGGAATCTTCCAGCTGAACAAAATAGCTGATGGATTTGACCATGTGCTAAGGGTCCGTCCATTCCAGCGTAGTCACAGCCTTCATCGGCTGTGACTCAACCTGAGCATTAAATGCTCAACTTCTAAGGAAGCTTATTTTGTTGACCTGAGTACTTCGTCACGACTTCTGACGACCCCAGCCACTCTGACCGGAGACACTGAAAAGGGAGCATGCCAATGGACCTCTGTTCCGGAGTTGATGTATCCTCTGCTAAGGTAACAAAGTCGTTGCACGCCCTGAGTGTACCAAGGGCTGAGCTGGATTTGGAGGAAGGGTGCCATTTTCTGGTTCAACACATAACTTTCATCCATCTAAACCTCCTCTTTAAATCTATTCCTTCTCTTTAAACTTCTATTCGCCAGTAAATCAAGCTAGATGCCTTCAGAAATGAATCAGTCTCAATCAGTAATCTTCTGTTGTCTTGTTTAGTAAATCGTGCCAAGTTTATTAATCAGAAACAGATCAGCAAATCAATGTGTACATGTTTGAAGTTAAATTCTGATTCTGTTAAATAAATGACCGCATTTATTCTGATGGGTCAAAGATAAAATGGCGTCTCATGTCACTAATTATACACTCCACAAGTTCTCTTGGTCACATGGAAGAAATTTAACTCGAAAAAGAAAGGATCCGTGTTACTTAAACAATTAATATTCTATGTGCTTGAACTAGCTTTAAGAATAATTAATTAGTAGAATGTTACGGCGAAAGCTGTCCCTACATCACTACAGTGGTATTACAAAAAAAGATCTTTCACATCTTGTCTATCAGGACACGATTTGAGACATCAAAAAAATTCTACCAGCAAGCACAATTAAAACATGATCACATTTGCATTTGACATCGAGGTGTTGAGATTTGTCCATGAGCGTTTTTTCACATCAGCCACAGTTTCTGAAGATATTTCAGCCAGCAGTTCTGATAAGCTTGCACAGAAAGTTCTCGGGGGGGGTGCACGATAGATTAAGCGTTTGTCCTTGGTTACTCATGACCCAGGAGAAATTTGATAATCGGCCCATCTCCGAGGCCATCAGGAGTCAGATTTAGATAAGCTTGATTCTTGATTTTCTTCAGGCAAAGATTACGTTTTTCCAGCCTTGAGTCCATCTGGGCGTTCTGGTTCTGAAAAAGCCTAATTGCGGGATTCCATTCCATTGATCCATGCGATGAGTCTCCTTCAAGGCCGAACCCACCACGCTGACGAGTACCAGAAGCCGCAGGTGGCTTGTGATTCTCATAAATCACCTCCACCTTACGGTTAAGCTTGTAAACCAGATGATTCAAAGTTCCTACTGCACGGACCAAACCTTCACACTGACTCGGAAGCTTTTCCATGGCCGAAACTGCTGCCGATGTCTTCTTCAAAAGTCGATAAAACAGAGCCCTGTGATGCCAAAAAGCAGAGTCCCTGCTATCATAATTCCAAATATGTAAATGTCTTCAACATCCTCCTGAGACAGAACTGAGAGGCGCATCAACTGCCACACTCCCCACGAATCCATGACGTACCGCACAGCGCGAGTCTCAGCTGGGCACGCCGGTTCTCCAGGACCTTGTCGCTTTCATGAAAAAATTTTATCAATAGAGTTGAACACCCACGATACCAAATCCATAATCTTCTTAATTTATGGTCAGGAGATGTGACCCAGGCACTTCTGACACACAGAGAACAGAGTAGGAAGAAGGAAAAAGGGGGAGAGGGATGACAGAAGCAACCACCTCGATGAAAGCCACGCATATTTTGATGTTGACGGTACTGGGAGTTGAACCTGCGACTTTCCGATCACAGGCCCATCTTCTAGCCTCTGCGCCACCACTCCCCCACCTGGCTCAGACACTGATTGGGTGAGTTTTCGACCGATGAGGAATAAATGCACAACTGCCATGAAATTTGCTCTTTGAATTGAGAAAGCTCCTCGGATGAGGAGCGTAACGTCTTCTGTTACAAATAAAGTCCAGTTCTTTTTTTATTGAACACTTTTTGAACTGCCATCAAAGTAGCAAAACGCAACTATTTCTTATCTCGGACCTCCAAAAATCTAAATGACCCTAACAGATTCTGGAAAACCATCAAATCTCTCTCAGGCAGCCTCCAATCATCTGACCTCCCATAACAACTTCTTGTTAACTCTGATCCTAAGTCAAAGAAGCACGAGATCCTGTAGTGAACTTAACCTGATGTCAAAACTAAGCCTAAGGTCAAAACCCTTGACCTTAAGAACCTTGTGGGACAGAAACTGTCGTTTCATTGATTTGAATCCAGAAATACAGGTTCACTCATCCTGAGACTTTCTTTCTTGAAAATCAAGTGAAAGAACACTCTCTTTTCTATTATCATTCCTGTTTTACAAATGTTTGATAATCAAAGTGTTTTAGTTCAAACATTTTAGATGTTACAGTGAACTAATCAATTTTATTAACTGTAAAACAGTAACAATGATTTTTAGTTGCTTATGCAAAGTAGAATTCATGTTAAGGCCTGTTACAGATTTTTATGCATTTTCTGATTTCTGTCTTTGAATGAGCAAGTGTGCGTTTTCCAAGGTCAGGAGTCGAAGCAGACATGTGTTGGAACAACTGTCTTGTTTACATCCTCTCAGACGTCAACGGAGGAGTTGGCACCTGTTTCTAAAACTCGCCAAAAGAAAACTCTCTCTGTCTCTGAGAACAGTTTAATCTGTTCCATAACAATTCTTGCTGTTTTCTGACTTCTAGTAACCTCTTACATCACAAAACACACCCCTGTCTGGTTGATAGTACCCAATCAGGGACACTCAAATATACCGGAAATAGAGCTCTTAATAAATTGCCGGTACTTCCTAGTTCTCTCAGTTCGGCGGCGCGGAAAAGTTCTGAGATGTTCGCAGTTCTGTGAAGTCGTTTGGGAGAACAGAAGTCCAGCCATGATAAGGCTCTTCGAGTTGGATTATAACATCTTCCACCTCTGAGTGGAACTTCTGAAGGACTCCACTCATGTGAAGTCCACTTGCTGAGGTGAGCTGGTGTCGGACGGAATCTCGTCACTACTTCGGACGAGTCACAGCCATCCTATGGAGACGCTGGACAGGTAGCGTTAACTGGACCTCCATATCTGCTGATTTATCTTCAGAAAGGTAATGAGTCAAGTTTCCTACCAAAGCGTACCGAGGAAAAGCTGGGTTCGAATGGAGAGTGTCGGTTCTGGTCAACACTCCCCCTCACACACCATCTTTTACTCCCTTTAACTTCATTTCCATCTTTAAATTCTTCTCTCAAGTAGAAATCCTTCCAGATAATTTAGAAATGTCTGTGTAAAGTGCTCATCCACCGCCGTGTGGATAATTGATCATAATTGTACAGTTTTCATTGATGTCTGCTGTTCTGCTGAAGAGTGGAAACAATCGCCGCATTGTTTCTCACTACCTGTAAAGCTGTTAATTATGTTGTTATTTTCATATTTTGCCAAATTAATGTAAATGTTTGATGTTAAACTTTGATTCTGTAAAATAAATGACCGCATTCATTTTGATGGGTCAAAGATAAATAACGTCTCACGTTACATTTCATTAAATTCAATGCACGTTTTATTCAGTCCAGAAAAATGAGGAATCCGTTTTAATTGATGAATATATCTCAGCATCTGTTCATCTACAATCCTGAACTGTTTCAACAAACATTTTGTTGCT